CGCCCCGCCCCGTTCAGGCCCCGCCCCTTGACCCGCCAGGCCCCGCCCCCTCACCTCCAGCTTCCACGTTTGGCGCACGTAGTCGCGCACCATGGCGTCGCGAAGAGAGTCGAAGACCCCCGGCTGGGGCTCGAGGCCCGGCGGCCGGTTGCACGGCTTGCGCAGGTTGCAGGGCAGCCCGTCGGGGTCGCGCGAGTAGAACTCGCAGAGCTCAGCGGGCCCGCAGTGCGCCTTGCCGCCCGCGATGGCGTAGGTGCCGTTGAGCTGGCGCTCCACGGGGAAGTGGTGGATGCGCACGTCGTGCACCAGCGACAGCACGTAGCCGCCCAGCGAGCGCAGGCACTGGCGCAGCAGGAAGAGCCCGTCGGCCATGCCCGCCAGCTTCAGGTGGTCCTCAGCCTCGGAGCGCGAGATGCTGCCGTAGAAGAAGGGCAGGTGCGCCGCAGGGTCGGGCATCACCACCGCAGCCGCGCGCAGGGTACCCCTGCGCCTCGTAGAGCCTGCGGGTTCAGAGGGGGACTTGGGGTACACCGGCGCCTCGGCTCCCTTACCTGAACCCCCTCAGTTGGGCCCAGAGATAGCACGACCCGTCCGCCCATTGTGCCAATTATGGAGAGCCTGCTTTGTGCCAGCCAACGTGGAGAGGAGCCCCAGCTTCCTTGTTCCTATCAGAAAGCCCCACCCCAACTGGCCCACACACATCTGTACCCAGAACCATGCTGTTATGGACTGAACTGGTCCCCCAAAAATGTGTATCAACTTGGCTAGGCCATGATTCCCAGTACTGTGTGTTCACCATTTTGTGATCTGATGTGATTTTCCTGTGTATCACAAATCCTAACCTCTATGATGTTAATGAGGCAAGACTCAATCTACAGGAATAGGTTGTATCTTCTTCTGAGATATAAAACAGAATGGAGCGGAGAGGAGGAGGACCTCATACCACCGAAAAAAGAAGCACCGGGAGCAGAGCAAGTCCTTTGAACCCAAGGTCCTTGTGCTGAGAAGCTCCTAGACCAGGGGAAGATTGATGACAAGGACCCTCCCCCAGAGCTGACAAAGGATTCTGCTAGAGCTGGTGCCCTGAATTTGAACTTCGAGCCTCCTAGACTGTGAGAAAATACATCTCTGTTAAAGCCATCCACCTGTGGTATTTCTGTTACAGCAGCACTAGATAATGAAGACACTAATGTGCGGGTTTATGGATGTATTAGAAAGGGTCAGGAGGGCTCCTGGATACTCACCCGAGAGAAACAAAAGCTTCTACTCACACAGCAGCTTGCACGGGACAGTTACAGCAGCTGTATTCATAACTGCCACAACTTGGAAACAACTCACATGTTTCTCAAGAGATGAATCCACAAACTGTGGGACATTCGTACAATGGAATACTACTCAGCACTAAAATGGAATGAAATACGGATACACATCGCACTGTGGATGGATGAATCTCAAAGGCATTATGCTGAAAGAAGCCAAACCCAACCCAAAGGCTACAAACTATATGATCCCATTTAAAACTGTAGCAATGCGGAACTCATTAATGGTCGTCCGGGCCTGGGGGGGTGGAGAAAGATCATGGCAAAGGGGCAGAGGGACTTCTGGGGACTAGTCTAGATCTTGACTGAGATGGTAGTTTCTCAGCTATATGCATTTGTCAGACTTCACAGAATTTTCAGTAAAATGGGTGAGTTTCATGTTGTGAGGTGCGGTTGAGTCGGTTCTGACTCATAGCGACCCCGTGTACAACAGAATGAAACGCTGCCCAGTCCTGCGCCATCCTTCCAGTGGTTGCTATGTCTGAGCCCATTGTTGCAGCCACTGTGTCAGTCCATCTTAAAATTTTTTTAATTGAAGGGGGAAAAAGGAGGTGGGAGGTACAGACACAGTGTGAGCTGTAAATCATAACTGAAATAGGAAAGACAGAGCTGTCTGTATTCCCTATCTCTGCTTCCTTGACTCCTGACTGGAAGCCCGCCCCCTGCCCCCCAGGCTGCCCTCCCCCATGCAGAGCCCCTCCCTCCTGCTTGAGCCTCACAGTACTCTCAGGTCCTTGACCAGGCCCCTGACTCGCTCCCCCCAGCTGACCAGTCCCACTGTCTTTCCACAGCCCTTTCTCCCTTATTTGGGTTGTGGCTGCACACAGCACGCCCATTTCTACCCCTGGCTCAGATCTCTCTTCTGAGGTCAGTTTGTGCTGGCATCACCGCTGATCTCCACACGCTGTTTCTATTAATCCAACCCGAGATCCGGATCTCACTCAACACCCAGCCTGTGGTTGACTGAACCCCTCAGTGTGTTTCCCACATGGGCTGAGCTCTGGGGACTGCAAGATGCTTCCGGGCAATTCTTCCCCAGGGCCTCCATTGCTCAAAGATCTCCTGTGGCTCCCTCCTGCCTCCTTCATTGAATCTAAATCTCCCAACCCTCTGCTCCAGCCAGGCTGTGCTACCTGCTTCCCTTCAAATTCACGGTTATCCTTCACCCATGCAGTGCCCTCCCCCCAGTGCACACCCCAGTTCGTCTCCATCTTCCCAAATCCAGCCAGCCCTGCCTGGTAGCCTCCTCTGGCAGCTCCCATAGAGTGTCCGTATGCCCAGGACCAGGTGGCGGGGGGGGGCTTGTCCAGGGCAGTGCTGAGGGCTGGGGGGAGCTGGTCTCTGGGGCAGGAAGCTGTGGTAGGAAACTTTGAGCAGCACAGTTTGAGAAGCTCCGCCCCATGGTGGCCACAGGTGCAGCCTGGGTAGCCGTAGGTGGGTGAGGACAGAAGTCGGGGGTGGGGTGGAGTGGGGACTGGCCCTCGGGGATGACCAAGAGCCATGTCATGACTGGCCCCCTCGGACCTGAGGCCCAGGTGCCCCGAGCAGGCGCACTTCCAGTGCGTTCTTGGTTTCATCCCAGGCTTCCTATCTCGCTGCCAGTAACAGCCGCCACACTGCCTGGCGGGCGGCTCATGGCAGCCAGCCCTGAGTCCAGCCCGGCCTCCCTGCGCCTTTCCGGACTGTCATGAGTACAACATGGGTGACCACCTTCCAGGGATCCCATGGCAAGAGAGGCTGGGGAGGCGGGAGGGGTGGGCAGAAAGAAGAGGTGAAGATAAAAGGCAGGCACCCAGAAGGTGGAGCTGCCGCTGAACGGGGCTGGCTGGGGCCCAGCAGCTGGACCAGGGGGAAGCCAGGCCTGGGTCAAGTGCTTACTTTCGGAAGAGCTGGGCCAAGCAGCAGCCTGTCACTGCGAGCCTGAACTTGGGCTGGGGGATCAGATGCTTCTGTCCTGAGCGGTGTCCAGCAGGCTCTGTGGCCTGGCCAGAAAACACCCCCATCACGAGTCGCCCCAGCCCTAGCCTGCCTGGGCTGACCCAGGGGGCTTATCCGAGGGCAGGGCCAGGACTCGAGTTTAGGACTTCGCTGTTCATCCCCCCCAACCCAGCCCCCAGTCCTCCCAGAGCTGAGCCCATCTGGCCTCCTTGAGCTGGCCCTTCAGTGGTCCTTCCCAGATCAGAGATCCCTCCCAAAGTCTGCAGCCCTGTTGGGTCACCCCAGAGAGAGCCGTGGGCCACCAGCATTGCTCTCACAGCCCAGGCCCTGGGAAGAGGAAGAAGAAACCCTTGAGCCTTGACCAGAAATTCTACCATTCAAGTTTCTTTTCTGGGTGTTTGCACACGTCTGTACAGAGATTCCCTATGCTTTAAAACAGGGCTTCGATCCTGTTCATTCTGGTTTGAGTCCCGGCTGAGAATTTGCAAATCCACCCCAGATATACTGAATCAGAATCTACATTTTAACAAGATCCCCGGGGTTAGTCTTATGCATACATGTATCTTGTTAATGTGGATTCTGATGCAGTATATCTGGGGTGGAGATGTAACAGCTCAGCAGGGGTTTCAACTGGAATAAACCAGTGTGAAGCCCTGCTTTAAAAACAGGAAAAAGTGTCCAGCGGTCAAATACATTTTCAAAGGTTGTGCAAAGCATATTAACATCTTAAGGGCTCTGAGGAGACCTGCAAAGAAAGACCTCATTTATTTTGTTTAATCCCCACGCCTATTCCACAGGACTTTTAAGTTCTACTGTTCCATGGAACATACTCTGAGCATCAAAATCCCCGATTAAATGCTCAGCCCCAGAGGGGAGACTATGGCAGTCGAGATGCCGAAGGAAGGCGCCCGTCTGATTGGACCTGGCAGGAGGGGGAGGCTCTGCATAACCCTCAGAGGCTGGACATGTCCCCACCCAAGGTGCTGCTGGAACAGGGGCCTGGCCCCTCGCTGCCCACGCCTCTCTCACTGACTTGTCTTGTTCTCCACTGCTGGCCCTCCGACTGAGTCCCTAGTCCTCTGCCTAAGACCCCCAGTCTCCCCTGAAGCCACGTGTTGAGCTCCTGAATCCCCAGGACAGGGTGGTGCGCTGTGCCCACCAGCAGAGCTATACTGGGGGCAGCACAGGCATCTGTCAGGGAAAACACCACCTTGGCTGCAGGGTAACAGTGGCAGTAGTTGGCATTTACCAAATATTGTGTGCCTGGGCGGTGCAGATGGGCTTGGCTGCTAATCAAAAGGTTGGAGGTTCACGTCCACCCAGAAGCACCTCAGAAGAAAGGCCTGGTGATCTACTTCCAAAAAATCAGCCCCTGAAAAACCCTACGGAACACAGATCGACGCTGACACATAGGGGGTCTCCGTGAGTCAGAGCTGACTCAAAGGCAACTTCAGGCTTTTACGTGCCATGGGTGGCGAGACACCTTCCTGTATCACTCCCCAGCAGGGGGTCAGATTCCAGTCGCGGGTCTGCTGCTCGGCGGCTGTGTGATCCTGGGGCAGTGCGTTAAGTTCTCCATCTGGAAGGAGGGGCCAGCAAATGTGCCCACCCTGGGCGATGGTGGGGATTGCAAGAGATAGGTCCACCGAGCACCGAGCACAGGCCTGGCCTGCCCTTGTACACTCACGTCGTTCTCTGCTCACAGCCCTCCAGGGCGCCCACCTCACTTGGTAAGTGTCCACATCCTCCTGGTGGTGCATAAAGCCCTGTGCCATCTGCCCACACACTTCCCTGCCCTCACTCACTCCCCTCCAGCTACACGGGCCTCCTAGGCTGCTTGTTCAGGTTACTCTAACAAATCAGGCTTGGTCCAGCCTCGGGGCCTTTGCACTGCCTATTCCCTCTGCCTGGACACTATCCCGCCTAATATCCCTCACTGCATTCAGGTCTCTGCCTAAATGTTACCTCCTCCAAGAGGTGGCCCCTGAACTCCGTATCTAAAACAGCCCGCCTCCTCCCTATCCCCTACCCAGCTTTATTTTTCTTCACCACCTAAAGTATGGTATTTGTACTGGCTTCTTGACGTAGCTCTTTCCCCTTCTAGAGTGTAAGCACCATGAGAGTGGAGACTTGGTCTCGTTCCTCTGCCTATACCACCGGGGAACCTACAGTGGCCCCGTTATCTGTGGTTTTAGTGACCCTGGTTTGAAAATGTGAAATGGGCACATAGCATGATGAAATCTGCCGCCGTCCCGCTCTGTCATTCGCGTCACGTTTATTGCAGTTGTTGTTATAATTGTTCTATTTTACTGTTGGTTACTGCTGTGAATCTCTTACTGCGCCTGATTTATAAATTAAACTTCATCATAGGTGTGTATGTATGGGACAGATCACAGCATATATAGGGTTTGGCGCTATCCATGGTCTCAGGCATCCACGGGAGGTCTTGGAACGTATCCCCTGCAGATAAGGGGGGGCTCCTGTGGTAGGTGCCCAATAAATGTTTGTTGAATCAGTCAATTAATTAGTTACTTCATTAGTATAAAAGTTATAGTCCTGGGGGTTATTGGGGGGATAAGGGGTGACAAGGACCAATGCAGCCTTGTGGTGGCTGGGGACACCTCTGGTGTCCTTGGAAGCTGGGCAGCCTGATGAGGTGAGGGGCCGTGGGGGCTTCCTTACGAGACGGGTGAATGGTGGACCTACAGGCTTCCTCTAACGCTGAGAGGCACCCCCGGCGGGGAGGGGAGGGCCAATCTGAAGGCGCCTTTGTTCAGGCTTCTCCCTCTGCTCCAAACAGTACACGCACCATTCTCCATGCTTCTGGTCCCAGCTCAGCTGCCTGTCCTCCGGGAAATGTGCCATGATTCCCACTTGATCCATGACCCACCCCACCCCCGCGCCTGAGTCTGGTGCCTCCTCTGGGCTCCCAGGAACCCCGTCCCCACATCAGAGTCCTGACGGCCAACTGTGATCACTGTCTGTCCCTGTCTCTGATCTGGCAGGCCCCCCAAGGCAGAGCCCACGGCTGTCTTGTTCTCTGCTGCAGCCCCTGCTTCGTCTCAGTAAATATCTGTCAAATGGAAAACAGCTGCAGCAGTAGCCTCTCTGCCAGGGACTGCACTAAGCCACTTATGAACAGTAGCCATGGAATCTGTCCTCACTGCCACTCCATCAAGCGGGAACCCTTATCCTCATTCCTCAGCTAAAGAAACCAAGGACCAGAGAGATTAATGGCCTGCTCAGAAGCACACAGCCTGCAAGTGGCAGAGGGGGGATTTGAAGCTGGGTCTCTGACCCAGCAGCCAGGACTTAACCTCTCTGTCAAATTCATGAGGCACTGGGAGAGCAGAATCCGCAGCTCTGAGCTGGGGCCCTGAGGGCCCCCAAGTCCCCACAGACCCCGGGCTGGCCCAGGTTTCGCTGCACCTTGAGCTGCCTTGAATTGTCAAGCCCTAGAGAGTGCCCCCCCACCCCCGCCACCATCACCTACCTGCACTGTCTGGGTTCTAGAGCTGTGTGACCCCAGCAAGGAGCTTTCCCTCTCTGGGTCTCAGTCCCTGTGACGGTATAATAGAGATGGGAAAAGGGTTAAAAAAAAAAAAAAAAAAAAGTTGCAGTCAAGTAGATTCCAGCTCATGGAGACCCTATGTGTGTCACAGGACAACTCCTCCACAGGGTTTTCAATGGCTGATTTTTCAGAAGTAGATTACCAGGCCTTTCATCTGAGGCACCTCTGGGTGGACTCAAACCATCAACCTTTTGGTTTGTAGCCGAGAGCACTAAGCATTTGCACCACTCAGGGACTCCAGGAAAAAGGCTGGGGGCTGGAGAAAGGTGGATGGGGTCGGGGGTGTGCCTGATACAGACATGGGGCAGCATGGGTTTGTGCTGTGCGCTATGGGGTGTTTAGCTGCAACCCTAGCTAGATGCTAACAACACCCCCTGAGTCATGACAACCAAAGATGACCCCAGATGTAATCAAGTGTCCCCAGGGGCAGGGAGGAGGCAAAACTGACTCTGATTGAGAACCAGGGCCTTAACCCTAAGCTTTGGTGTGGGGCGGGGTATGGTCAGGGCTCGGCACAGAGGTCTGGTGGCTGTGTCCGCAGGAGAGTCTCCAGGAGCTGCTGGGGGGTCCGGAGCCTGAGACATGAGCCCAGAGCTTGTAATAACTAAACCCAGTGCCACTGAGTGGATTCCGACTCATAATGACCCTGTGGGACAGAGCAGAACTGCCCCATAGGGTTTCCAAGGAGCAGGTGGTGGATTCAAACTGCAGACCTTTCGGTAAGCAGTAGAGCTCTTAACCACTGTACCACCAGGGCTCCAGATAAATGGATACGCTGATGGAAATGTATGTATGTACATACATACACACACATATATGGATATACCCATACATATAGAAATGAGGGATGTATACAAAGATAGAAATTGATAAACACATGGACTGGAAATACGTACAGTATATCCCGTTGCCATGGAGTCGATTCCGACTCATAGCGACCCTATAGGACAGGGCAGAACCACCCCATAGGGTTTCCAAGCAGCGGCTGGTGGATTCAAACTGCCGACCTTTTCATTAGCAGCCCAGCGCTTAACCACTTCCCCACCGAGTCCCAAGCCTAATCCCTTTCTGAGTGGGGTCTTGAAAACCGAAGTCCAGACCCAGAGATAGGCCCACGCTTGGGGGTGGGGGGCTGGGAAGAGAATCGCAGAGACCACCGGCTGCGATAGAAGCGGAGAGAGATAACGAAGGGCCTTTCCCTACAGCTCATGCCCTAAATTCGGCCTTCTAGCCCCAGGACTGGGAGATAATAAACTTCTGTTCTTTAAAGTCACCAGCTTTGTGGAACTTTGTTTACGGCCCGGGGTCACTAAGATGAGCATGCACGACGCGCCGGGTCCTCCTTAATCCTCCTGAGAACCCCCCCCCGCCATGCACGACGCGCCGGGCCCTCCTTAATCCTCCTGAGAACCCCCCCCCATGCACGACGCGCCGGGCCCTCCTTAATCCTCCTGAGAACCCCCCTCCATGCACGACGCGCCGGGCCCTCCTTAATCCTCCTGAGAACCCCCCTCCATGCACGACGCGCTGGGCCCTCCTTAATCCTCCTGAGAACCACCCCCATGCACGACGCGCCGGGCCCTCCTTAATCCTCCTGAGAACCCCACCCAATGTACGATGCACCGGGCGCTCGCTTAATCCGCCTGAGAACCCCCCACCCGACGTACGACACAACGGGCGCTCGCTTAATCCGCCTGAGAAGCTCCCACCCAACGTAGGACACAAGGAGCGCTCGCTTAATCCTCCTGAGAACCCCCCACCTGATAAATGACGCACAAGGCGCTCCCTTAATCCTCCTGAGAACCCCCCACCTGATGTACGACGCGCCGGGCCCTCCCTTAATCCTCCTGAGAACCCCCCACCTGATAAATGACGCACCAGGCGCCCCCTTAATCCTCCTGAGAACCCCACCCAACGTACGATGCACCGGGCGCCCCCTTAATCCTCCTGAGAACCCCCCACCTGATGTATGACGCGCCAAGCACTCCCTTAATCCTTCTGAGAACCCCCCCCACCTGATATATGACGCGCCGGGCGCTCCCTTAATCCTCCTGAGAACCCCCCACCTGTGAGGAAAGGATTGTTATGGAACCCAGTAGGTGGAGTGGCTCACCCAAGGTCACACAGCTGGTAAGTGGCAGAGCCAGGACACGAACCCCGTGGCCTGGCTCCAGAGGGTCCACACAAACACCATGCCAGAACCCCTGCCTGCGCAGTGTCCCTGCCAGGGCTGTGTGGGTGAGGCCAGGAGACAGGTGAGAAAAGCAAGAAGCAGCTCTAGAGGTAGCAAAAGGGCCTTAGCAGGCGGCACCGCGGGGCCTTCAGTCAGTCTGGGAGGCTGTGTCCCTAACGCCTCAGCAAGGCTTTATTAAGCACTTACTCTGCTCGATGCCCTCCCTGAGAGGGGAGTGACGATGCTTGTCTTAAGCTATTTACCACATAAACCCCAGTTTTCCTGCCTAGGACACCTTTCCCAGCCTCTCACCCGACAGTCAGGAGCTGAGCACCTACTAGGTGCCCGTATTTTTATCTGCATTTAACAGATGCACAAAACTGAGGCTCAAAGAGGCCAAGTAATTTGCCAAAGACACACAGCAGTTGAGCAGGATTCCAGTGGTTTGCTCCTTCACCTCTGTGGGTCCCCCGCTTTAACCTGAGCGGCCTGCCCCGGGCTCCCTCAGGGAAATCATCGGCATTGTGTTTTTCTGGTTCACAGCTCCGTTGAGCTACTCTCATATTCACGGGGCCTGGGGGCCAGAGTACACATTTGCTTTTTCCAGAGGTTTCTGTGCTTCCTGGAGCCAAAGATGCAGCCCTGACAGGCCCCAGCAGGAGGTCAGGGACTGAGGGTGAGCAGGGGGTCTCTGTCCTCTAGATACCTCCACTCACCTGACCCTCTAGAGCTGGAGCTGTTTCCCTCAGGGTGAACACAAGCCGCATCTGCTCCCTTCTCCAGGGGGACACTGCCCTCCGGCCCTCCCCAGTCCTACAGCCCTCCTGGCCCTCCCCAGCGGCCTCCTGGCCCTCCCCAGCGGCCTCCTGGCCCTCCCCAGCGGCCACCTGGCCTCCTGGTTAACACTCTGTCCACCTCCACCAGACTCAGGCCACACCTGGAGATGGTGGCTAAGTGCTTCTCCTCCTGGGGAGGACTTACCTGTGCAGATGGTTGTAAATAGGCCACCTGATGTCTCTGGTCCCCAACGCCGACAGACAGCTGGTTCTAGATGAAGAAATGGGGCCCACACAGCCAACTTGAGTTTCTCTATAACCCACCAGGCGCCTCACACGCAGTCGAGGTCTAAGGAGATCATGCCCCACCAGGGTTTCTCATTCAGTGGGAGTTTTATTCACCCTCTACCAGGTACCCCAAGTCCCTTGGGGTGGCCATGGTGGCAGGACAGGGGCAGAAGGCCCAGGATGGCCACTCACCTGGATGTGCCAGCGGCAGCACAGGCCCCAGCAGGGAAGAGACCCAGGCCGGAAGCCTGCTGTGCTATTGACAGCGACTTTCTGTGAAACTCAGCCTATTTCCTTGATGCGAACACAGGAAAGGGAGCCGTGTTTGAAGTTTACGTCAACATTACAAAGTGCTGTGTTCAAGGAAAATCACAGACCACGTGCTCGGGAGATGGCAGAGGGGATTTCCGGGGCCCAGCAATGCCTGCCGCAGCAGTGGTGGGGAAACTGAGGCTAGCCCGGGGCAGGGATTATGCTGCAGTGATGATTCCGACAGCAGGCCCAAACCTCCCCTGCCTGGGAGAAGGGGACTGGTGTGCACAAGAATGAGGGTGGGGCGGCGGCAGTGGTAGGGCGAATCCAGGGCTCACTGGAAACCAGAGTGCCCCACCATGCCCTCCCAGAGGGGCATCCACCTAGGGCCTGCCTCTGGCTGAAGCACCCCGTTAGAGTGATTTACTTATGTCACAGGCAGGCTAAAGGCGGAGGGAGGAGAAGCCCACACAAGCGGTTGGCACTCTAAGGGCCCAGAGCAGCTCAGCGCACCAGGACTGCAGTGACACAGCCAGGCCCCTGCCCTCACGGCCCACAGGCTAGAGGGTGTGACCCTAATACTCCCCAGCATGTTGTCCGCTTTTCAAAACGGGCGGCTGAGAGCTTGATGTAACTAACGCCATGATGAGCCTGTGCGTTTTTTTCTTCTCTCTTTGCCTTCTCCTTTTCCGATACCTTTGTTAATGACTTTGTGTTGCTCTGTCCGGCCACCTGGGCTTATGACTGCCCACAGGAGGACTGGGGCCCAGATGTCAGATATGGGTATCTTCAGCCTGATAAGGAAACGTCCCGCAGATATCTCCTTAGTATGATAAAAAGTCTCTTGAAATTACCTTCCTGCCTTTGTAAAAATCATAGATGAGCTCTAATGTAAAAATGCCCTTTGGGACTCCACAGAGACAGCCTGCGTTGCCGTCGGATCCTCGGCGGTCGACACTTCCTAAATAAAACTTTCTCACTCTTTCTGACTTGGAGTGCGTTTCACTGGCTCGACTGCTCCGGGGCACAGACCCTATTCGAGTAACCAGGGGGAGGCAGCTGAGGCAAGAGGGAGGCCAGGGCCGGGATGGTGGAAGTCAGAGCACCATGGTGCCCAGAGGAGTGCCTGAGAGATATCAGGGGAGGGCTCCGGGGGAATAAGCCACACAGTCAGGACATGGAGACAGCGTGTTCCCCTATACCCTGTCCCAGCCCAGCTCCGCCTCGGAGCTTCCCAACACAGCTGCCTGTGGCGGATGAACACCTCCTGCGCTGGCCACGGCCTCTGTCCCCTTCCCCCCTCCCCACCCGGCTTCTGACCAGGTGGGCGAAGCTCACGCCTGTCTCCTCAGATGGGGGCCCTGCAGAGGGTCGCGGTGCTGCCCGCTGTGTGCCGGTCCCTGTCCTTCGCATCGACGTCACCTTCATCTCTGCCTCCAGGGCCCCCAAGGCCTCGAGGGGCCTCTCACCCATGACCTCCTTGCCCCCTGGGGCACTCAGAGATATCTTCAGGGGCTCCCCCACCACGGAGCCTCAGGGGCCTGTGTGGGGCTGTCCTGGGCCCACCTGTGAGGACCCCAAGAACATTTCTTCTGTGGGTCCTGCTGCCCCCCAGGGAAATGGCTTGGCTCCTCAGCCTACCTCTGGTCCCTCCTGCCTCCTCCCCCAGGTCCCTTTCCTAGAGACCCCTTCGCCGGTATTGCCGTCCTCCCACCCTGGAAATCTTCCCACTAAGGAAATCCTGTTTCTGGGCTCCAGGCTGGGATCCTTGTCTCCTACATAGATTCCCCTAAAACTGTTCTTGCTGGAAACTTTCTCTTTACCCATAGGCGTTATGAAAACTCCAGATCCAGGAAATGTCTCTTTTCTCCCAAGCTGGATACTCAGGTCATGAGACAAGAGTGCTCTGGTGGACTGAGGAGGGTAGGAGTCAAGCGTCACGAAGCACAACGTCATCAACGACAATAACGGCAGCCGGCGCTTACTGTGTGCCAGGCAATGTTCTAAGCACTTGACGATTAATAACCCGTTGAATTCTCAAAACAACCTGGTCTTAGGCCCATTTCCTAGATGAGGTAACTGAGGCCCAGGCACCAAGTGGTAAGGAGGGATGGAGCCCAAGTAGTCTGGCCTGACGACAAGTCTGCCTCCAGAGCTCACGCACAGAGGACGCAGAAGAAGGAAAGCTTGGTTGCAAAACATCTCCTTAGGGGGACTCGGCCCCCCCGGAAGCTGGAAGGTGAGAGGCTGCATGCGAACACCTAGCAGCAGGAGCATTTGAGGCTGTTGGGGCGATGCAGCCCCCAGGTGGGCCTGGAGCTTCCGGCCTCCGGGATCTCCAGGTCCTGAAAAGGGGACTCCCAGCCTCTGTGAGACAGACACCAGCTCAACAGCCCTGAGCTGCTTTCCGGTCCCAGGGGCCACGGCCTGAAACCGCACGGAAAACTCATGCTCAGGCCGTTCTGAGATTGCCCTCCGATGAGGTCATCTGCTCTGCCAAGTGGAGCAGGGGTGAGTGCATCTTTTGGGCGTTGAGAGGAAAGGACGAGCAGATGGAAACACGGGCTGGGAAAGTTGTGGTGCATTTGTCCCATTCAGCCACCCACTGCCCTCAAGTGGATTCTGACTCATAGCAACCCCGTAAGACAGAGTAGAACTGCCTTCTAGGGTTTCTAAGGCTGTAAATCTTTGTGGAAGCAGACTGCCACATCTTTCTCCCTCAGAGCGGCTGGTGAGTTTGAACCACCGACCTTTCTGTTAGCATCCGAGAGCTTTAACCACTGCACCACCAGGGCTCTTTTGCCCCAGGTGTTGTTGTTAGGGGCCATCAAGTCGGTTCTGACTCACAGAGACCCTGTGTACCACGGAAGGAAACTCTGCCCAGTCCTGCGCCATCCTCACAATCGTTGTTACGCTTGAGCCCATTATTGCAGCCACAGTGTCAATTCATCTTGTCGAGGGTCTTCTTCTCTTTCACTGACCTTCTACTTAACCAAGCGTGATGTCCTTCTCCGGGGACTGAGCCCTCCTGATAACATGTCCAAAGTATGTGAGATGAAGTCTCTGAAGCCTCGCAATCCTTGCTTCTAAGGAGCATTCTGGCTGTACTTCTTCCAAGACGGATTTGTTCGTTCTTCTGGCAGTTCATGGTATATTCAATATTCTTCACCAATATCCTGATTCAAAGACATCAACTCTTCTTCTGTCTTCCTTATTCATTGTCCAGCTTTCACATGCATATGAGGCGACTGAAAACACCATGGCTTGGGTCAGGCACACCTTAGTCCTCGAAGTGACACCTTTGCTTTTTAACACCTTAAAGAGGTCTTTTGCAATAGGTTTGCCCAATGCAATACGTCGCTTGATTTTTTTGACTGCTGCTTCCATGGTTATTGATTGTGGGTCAAAGTAAAATGAAATCCTTGACAACTTCAACGTTTCCTCTGTTTATCATGATGTTGCTTATTGGTCCAGTTGTGAGGATTTTTGTTTTCTGTATGTTGAGGTGCAGTCCATACTGAAGACTGTAGTCTTTGATCTTCGTCAATAAGTGCTTCAAGTCCTCTTTGCTTTGGCAAGCAAGATTGTGTCATCTGCATATTACAGGTTGTTAAGGAGTCTTCCTCCAAACCTGATGTCACGTTCTTCTTCATGTAGTCCAGCTTCTCGGATTGTTTGCTCAGCATACATATTCAATAAGTATGATGAGAGGATACACCCGTGACACACACCCTTCCTCATTTGACGCCACCCAGTATCCCCTTGTTCTGTTCAAACGACGGTTTCTCGGTCTATGTACAGGTTCCTCATGAGCACAGTTGTTTTGGAATTCCCATTCTTTGCGATGTTATCCATAATTTGTTATGATCTACACAGTCAATGATTTCGTTTCACTTGGATCCACAATCAACATCCATGGAAGCAGCAGTCAAGAAATCCAACGACGCATTGCATTGGGCAGACCTGCTGCAGAAGACGTCTTTCAGGGGTTAAAAAGCAAAGATGTCACTTTGAAGACTAAGGTGTGCCTGACCCAATGTTGTGGAGAAACTGGAATCCTCATCCATTGCTGATGGGAATGTAAAACGGTGCAGCCAATGTGGAAAACAGTTTGGCAGTTTCTCAAAAAGTTGAACACAGAATTACCATATGACCCAGCGATCCCAATCCTAGGATATACCCAGAAGAAGTGAAAGCAGAAACACAAACAGAAACATCCATGTCCATTGCAGTACTTTTCATAATAGCCAAAATATGGAAACAACCAAAATGTCCACTGACAGGTGAATGGATAAACGAAATGCGGTCTGTCCATACAATGGAATATTCCTCAGCCGTAAGGAGAGATGAAGTCCTGATGCTTTGCCACAACGTGGGTGAACCTGGAACACACGCTGCTGAATGAAGCCAGTCACGAAAGGACAACACTCGATAATCTCACGTGTATGAAATAAGCAAATATACAGAAACCAAAAATTATTAGTGGTTACCAAGGGTAGGAAAGAGGGGGAAAAGGGGAGCTTTTGCTTCAGGGACATGGAGTTTATGTTCATGGTGGTGGAATAATCTGGAAAAGGATAGATATAATGGTTGCACCCCATGAAGAATGTAATCAATGTCACTGAATTATACATGTAGAAATTGTTGAACTGGCAAATGTTTTGTGTATATTTTCACCACAATAATTTTTTTTTTAATTTGGGTACGAGTCATATTCCCAGCCACCCCTCCCACCCACCCCCCAGCTAGCCTGGGAGCTTCCTCGGGGCAGAACCCATGCCTGGTTTATCGCGGGTTCTCTCATTGTATTTAGATCCTGTCTACATATTAGCTGTCCAGTTAATATTGATTGAATAAGGGACTGAATGAATGAGTCAATAATTTAATAAATAAATAAATCTATTGTTTCTTAGGCTTGTCTTTGGGTAAATGCAGTAGGTCCCCTGCACTAGGCATTGGTGCCATATTGCCATAAGCATCCTGTGGTAGATTTTTTTTTCGTCCATT